CCAGCATGCCTTTCACGTCAGGGGAGAACCTCGGGACCCCTGCCAGAGGAGAGAGCCGTCACAGCCCCGGAGCCCCGCGGAGGGCGTGAGTACGGAGCCATGGACACGACGCCCTCCATGCCCCATCCCAGCCTCGCCGGGAGCCACGCAGGCGCCTCTGCCCCCGAGCCCCCAGCATTTACGCGCGTGCGGAAGGTTCAGGACCCGCGTGGGTGCCTGCAGGATGTTCTTCATAACGGAGACGGTTCCTTACCGTAGAACCAGGAGACAGCGATCGTTTCCAGCAGCACCACTGCCAGGATCGAGCAGCCAGCACCGAACTCCTCCAGCAGCTTCACCACATAGGCCCCCCCCTGGAAGAGCACCGGGGAGGGGGGCGGCTGCAGACCCCGGGGGGATGTGGAGCAGGTCTTTGGCGAAGTCCCACACCGGGGGTTGTTGGACAAACGCGTAGGTGTGTGGTGGGGATGGGAGCGGAGCGGTGCCCAGTGGTACTCACGTAGGTGAGGGTGCTCAGGGAGCCCAGGAAACAGACGGTGATGAGGCCGAGGACGAAGAGCTCCCGACGCCCGGCCAGGACCTGGGGGTACTCATCCATCACAGCTGTGATCACGGCCTCCAAGCCCCCAAACTGCAAAGGGAACACCGGCGTGGGGTGGAGGAATGAGACGTGGGGCCAGTCCCGCTCCCCAGGAAAATCTGCCCCCCGCCATGGCCCCCTCTGCCTGGGAGCAGAGAGGGGACATCCCATCTCGTCCCCCCTCCATCCCCGTGCTGGCCATGCTCAGAGGGCTCAGGCGGAGAGTCCTCCTTCCCGAGGCCACCTCGTCACCTCGCTATTAGCCATGGGACACGGCCACCCCCGCTGGGGACATGGCCCCGGGCTGCAGGGCTCTGCTGTCACGCCCCACGGAGGTGCCTACCGTGCTGTCCAGCCCCAGCGTTATCATCATCAGGAAGAATACGATGGCAAAGAAGGTGGATCCCACCATGTTGGCGATCGCTTCGGGGTAGGTGATAAAAAGAAGGCTCGGCCCTAGGAGGGGGACGTTGGTTTGGTTTGCTGTTCCCTGGCTGCTCTGGCACAGCCCTGGGTGTTGGGGGGAACACGCTTGGGGAAGATGCCCCAAAATTCCCCTGGGAACTGCTCCTGGGCACAAGCCCCCATGCCCCAGCAGACCCCCGGGCTGGCCACCACCCTGGATGCCCTCAGCCGCATGGGCACAGAGAGCCTGGAGGCACCAGGGACCGCGGGGCCGGGATGGGGCCGTTGCACTGCAGGGGGGCAAACCTTTATCTCTTGCGACATCCTCCACCTCCACGTCCCTCATCTCAGCCATGTAGCCCAGCACAGTGAAGATGACGAAGCCCGAGAGGAAGCTGGTGACGCAGTTCACTGCGCTGGTGACAAGCGCATCCCTGGAGAGCAGAAAGCGGGGAGACGTGTCCTGCGGTGGAAACCTCCCTCCGGTGCAGATCTCACCCCAGCTCAGCTGCCCCGGCCGCCTGCACCCCCGCCGGTTCCCTCTCCCAGCCCTGCATACCAAAACCATCAGTAAAATGGGGAAAGATGCTCAGCCCGTGGCCACAGGTTGCAGGAGCCGTCGGGATGCGGCTCCACGGCCGCCGCGCCCCGCGGC